ATGTCTACATCTATAATCAAGATTTTAAATCTATATGTAATTCAACAACCTTGAAGTTGCTCAGTGATTTCAATAAATTAATTTCATAAGTGTTAAAGGTGCATGTATTTTACAATGAATGTATTTCTGTCCTTATTCTACTGTAACTTACTGACTGATGACTGTATTTATGTGCAGTCACACTGTTGTATTTACAAATGAATGAAACACCTTCTGAATAATAATTTTATCCTATGTTTGCCATTAAACCACATATATATATTTGTTTTGTGTGGTTCTTCCAAACATTTTTTTTTTAGGCTTACTTAACTGATGCAGTACCAGTTTCAAATTTCATTGTTATAAACCTAACCCTTTCACTGCACTATTAGTTTTAACCTGTAGAATTAACAGTCTAGCTTCCACCTGTAGAATAGGTATAATTTTCTAGTATTTATGTATAAATTGCATTATCTTTAAGGGCCTTGGATAACAAGTATAACAGTTGGTAAATGAGCAACCTTCCAACAGGTTTACCAACTAGTGTAAGGTTACCGAGATTGTAAGAACTCACCAAACCGGCAACAGAACACTCCCGTCACTTCTTCCCTCACCCTCAGCTAAGTCCATTCCTCCAGCTACAGCAAAGCCACTGACTGCAACAATAACTGGTTTAGATGTCAACATCCTTGAAGGTCCCTAAAAATATTGAAGTGGAATAGTAAAAAAGTCACCATACAAACACAGTTCATAAATAAATAGAATATTCTGTGTAACTAAATCCTTTAAGTTCTGTTCAAACATGAGTTTAAAATATCTTGAAAGAAACTTGCTCTTTCACATAAGTTGTTCATTGAGAGATGTCAGCCTGAATTCTTTGAAACTTTTGTTAGATAACCTAATGGATATCTACAACATTCAATTTAAATAGTTACTTGTTTGATGGGTCAGAGGTTACCATGATGGTCTGAATGACCTTTTTTTGATGCTTCTGTTTACAATGAAGTTGTATATGTTGGTTGTGCTTGTGACAATAAAAATATCACTAGAGTAACTGTGAGTAATCCATAACTTCCAATTTAACTGCCTAAAGATTACTAGACTGGAGTCTCGATGTTGCAAGCTGTTACAAGGAACTGACTGACCCACTTTTGATGAACTTTGGTAGAGGAATTCAGGTCGACCCCTAAAAGATTGGAATAAAAATGATTAGAAATTTCAGAAATGGTTAAAGTTTAGCAGACATTCAAATTTTTATTACACAAAGTTATTGAAAAAAAACAAAACAGAAATAAACACTTATTGCTTTGTCTATTACACAGGGTTCGTACATCTTCGGTGATTCAGATTTTCATGACTTTTTCAAAACTTTCCATAGCCCTCAAAACTGATTTTGCAGACCACCACTAAGGAAAAACACAATGGGCTTGCTCGGAAGATCGTCGTCATCAGATATTACATGATGTAATCATCAACTAAACAAATTATGGAAAACACTGGTTTATAATATTGACAGAAGAAAATATTCATTTTACAGGATTTTCCAAAACCTGTACGAACCCTGAATCTGTATGTGTCACTTCTATAATTTTTAACACTACCTATATGAGTTACTAGTATAATTTTTAACACTACCTGTATGAGTTACTAGTATAATTTTTAACACTACCTGTATGAGTTACTAGTATAATTTTTAACACTACATGTATCAGTTACTAGTATAATTTTTAACACTACATGTATGAGTTACTAGTATAATTTTTAACACAACCTGTATCAGTTACTAGTATAATTTTTAACACTACCTGTATCAGTTAGTAGTATAATTTTTAACACTACTTTGTAATATTCTCGAGAGTTTGTACTTTTTACCATCTCCTTATCTTCTACTGTAATTTACAGTTATGTGATTTTATAATATTACACTTTTTAATTTTAATTTAGGTCTCCTTTAAAGAAGGCAAACATAGAAGAAGTGACAATAAAACACCAACAAAATGACCCATGTTAAAATAACAAGTATTTGCTAGGTTGTTACATCACAAATAGTGGAACTTGTCCATTTTTCTTCATAGTTAAACATTGGGATTGTTATGTTTTGTAGAAAATATATATACTTGTTGCATCTCTTAAACATTATTAGAATATTACTTCATTATCATTAAATTTACCTCAATATTTCATTCACATGTAATTAATATAATATTGTACGCTTTGGTTATCTTAAACCAGATGTTCACAGTCCAATTAAAGTCATAATGTTGGGTACATAAGTAGTTTGGATGGGAATCCTCCTAATTATGTGGATGATAAATATTGTCTTCATGTCTTAAGCTTTGAGACAGAGTGTTACTGTAAGTGGTAAAGCTACCAGAATTTTAAGTTGTTTTACTGTAGGAATATTGACCACAAGTCTAAACTAGCTATGTTTCATTGTTCAAGTCAGTATTTAGGCCACACTTGTAGTTTTGGTCTCCTTATCCTGGAATTGATCGATTTGTTCGAGACTGTCCAAAGGAGGGCTACTAGCATGATTTGGGGGATGTATGGTTTGTTATATGAAGATAAATTCAGATCTCAGTATTTCTCTCTTTAAAAGAGAAGGATCGGGAATTATCTAATAAAAGTACTCAAAAATTAAGTGAATTCTGATATTAGAAATATCACTTTAATCACACCCCTCAAACTTATTTTTTGTTGTTGTACAGCACAAAGCTACACAATGAGTTATCTGAGCTGTGCTCACCATAGGTATTGAAACTGCCGAGTCACTGTTTGTTTTCCCCAAGAGAATACATTTTCAGAGATTATAACCTGTCAATATAATTATAACCTTTCCATCCCAGTTATCAGTAGCCTCATTTGAACCCTCCCCAACATTATAGATAGAAACCTACTGATTATCAAACTAAAGAAAAGGATCTTCAGACCTGTACACAAAATTTATGAGGTCAAAATCCAACATACATTGTGTGAAGCACAATCATCATGCAAAGCATGCTAATGCTACGATGGTCTCATAAAAATAAAAATTTTTTTTACTTTTCCCTACAGTGGGTATGCAAGGTCTCCCTTGTCTGTGTGTTATCTTTTTAAAATAAAACAATATAACCTACAAATTTACCCATGAATTGTTTTGTCATCACAATTTAAAGTTTTAAAACAGGTTCATTCTGAAATGAAATATCTTAGGCTTAGCTGTCACCATTATGCTCTACAATCGCTGGTGTTAATATGCTACATACATTGTTGTAACTATTCAATTGACACTCATGTAAAATTAAAAAGTCATATCCACTGTTACTTAAAATTATACTTACACTGAGTGTGGAGTCCAAAATATGAAAACAGTAGGACTTCAAATAAGTGTTCCACATTTGTGAAGTTGTCTTTTTATAATGAAAAACGTTCTTGTAAACTTTTCAAATTAAAAACTTTACCTTACGAGTTATGAAATGTATTTATTTTGTTTATGAGATTTTCTCTTCTAAATGAAATGAAGTTGGAAATTCAAAGTCTCACTTCGTTCATCTAACATCACGACACTATCTAAAAATCATCATTTGGACTGACCCGCAACTTAACGTCGTAAGTTAAATAGTGTAACGTGTAAGTATATTATCAACGTGATAATATAATGCCGACGAAATTTAATTTCGAAATAAAATACTAAAACTTATACAAGGAAATGTTTTAGAAACTCTCCTTATGTTTCTGTACTGATAATTCTACTGAGCTTACCGTCAAAACCACGTGTTAACGTAGCAAGCTGAGGCAGTGAGGGAACGTGAATTACAAATTAATTATTCACACAGCCTAAGAAACATTTAACAAATGATGTATTCTGTTTGGTCCACTGTCTTCTTCGAGGAAAAAGATTCCAAGCTATAATTAAGTTTATCAGTTAATTTATGCTTGAGAATTTAAACTCTTATTCTAGAAGTTTAAATTTTTTTTAGAGAAGCCTAACACTACCATCACTACCACGACGTTGAGAAGTCTCCATTTTAGCTTACCTACACCAACAGCGTCCTCTACCAATATATTCATATATATATTATTTAATGTTCGATTATAAAATAACAACAACAATATCCATATGTGTGTGGATATATTTGTATAGAGGAAAAGGTCATATCGATAAATAATTCTAAAAAATTATCAATAGACGTTTATTTTGTTATTACTTTTACAAAAACATGAATTGAATTTTTAAATAGAAAGAAAAGCATGGTAGCATTACATGCATGAAGAACAGGGAGGAAAATGTTGAACCAAGATGATTAGGTTTTTAGAAACTTCGAGCTCGAAGAAAAACGAAACGCGAGTTACTGTTGGAAAGAATAAGGACAAATTTTAAATTACCTGAACAATGACCACATCGTGAATCTAGAGAAGAAGATCGGAAAGTTTCGAAACATTTCATGATATATTTATTGGGCGATATTGTTTAATGATTGAAATATATATTTTTGTGCTCGATTAATGTACATATACTAACTTCTCTTTTTCCTTCATATGTTAAACGTGGAACATCGAAATAAAACTACATTTTAAAACTTACAAAGCCAAGAAATGTAACAACATGACTGATTCATGTAATGTACAGTATCAGAGCCTTTTCCAGGGTTATGATTGTTTGGTTTCGGATATTCGCACAAGGGCTATTTCCACTAGCAGCCCCTAATTTTGAACATATTAACTAGAGGGAAGGTAGATATTCAGAAACACCCATTGCCAACTCTTACCGAATAGTGGAATTAGCAGTCATTCTTATATCGTACGCTCTGACCCAAAGTACGAATTTTGGCAACCGTGGATAGAGAGTTATGTGTTTGATAGGAAACGCTAATAGTTTTAACAACTGGGTATGGATTATTACTGTTAAGAATAATAACACCGTATTAAAGAAAAAATTAGAGACAGTCTACGTCAAATTAACGTTCAATATAAGGGTATCACACATACAATCTTCTTGACCCTGCAGTAGCCAACTCGGTTACTATTCAAGTTAAAATACTGACCCTCAATGGGAAATGTTAAAAATAAAGCGAATTATAGGACGAATCTACATAGATAACAAGCTTTATTCACATTTCCATTGTTGTCTTCATTTTACAATAAATGCGGTCTCAGAGAAGACTTTATAATTATTTCGTGAAATAAAATTAATATTTTGATAATTACAAAGCTTTATAGCTAAATACTATGCATACTATAAATTTAACAGTATCACGTTATTTGTTTGGTAAATTTTGAAGCTGAATAATAGTAAGCATTGTAGGTGTAATTGAACAATGTTGTGTACAGATATTTCGTAAATTATAATAATTTTAATCGAGATTTCAACAGATGGCATCGCAAGTAACAATATCGAAGGTTTTTGTTTTGTTCATTGTTAAACACAAAGCTACACAATAGGCTATCTGTGCTGTATCTATTGCGGGTATCGAAACCCGATTTTCAGCGTTGTAAAACATCAGACGTGCCGCTGAACGAACAGGTGGCAAGCTTTTTGGAAGCGGCAACGAAGTTTGGACACAAAAGTTTTCCTATTTTTTTTGTTCCAATCGAGAAAAAGGTTCGTTGTACACTAGTGTTAAAAGACAATCTGAAAAAAAAGGAAATACACAGTACTTGAGTTTATTTTCATCCCAAACCGAACTCCACTATGTAGTAAATAATGACATGAGCTCCACTTTATTGTTACTGGTTGTCAAATGTATATTTCATAATTTTAAATATCAAAACGTTGATACAAGAAGACAGCATAAAAAATACACCAGAGAAGCCTGAAAAATAATTACAGAGAAGTCAATGGCGTAGGTTAAAAAAATCTAAAAAACTCAACAATAACAAACATATACATGTTTAAAATCAATGACACATTGTTTTTTAATAATTCAAGTTTATTGGAATTTCATGGCTTCAGTGTGAGCCATAATCTCCACTGGCCAGAAATTTACATTTCAAGATTTTACAAACATCAAGCGTATGAATATGATTAACATTTATTACAAGGCATGTTTGATGTAACAACGTCTTGGAGGTGTCTTTTGATTACGAAAGCAAAAGAAAAAATTCAGTGATACAAAGGTGAAATTCAGCCACCCCTCCACCATCAGTGTACCAATCACCGGCGAACCCACACATTTTCCACGTGTTAATGTAATATATACACGAATCATGATACAGACTCCTAAAATCTAAAGCGATACTACTAAACTTAATCATAACATTATTATGATCCTTTAAGCCAATAACTATATGATGGTTAGTTCTAAAATCATACAAAAATGTAAGTTAGATTCTCATTGATAATAGTTATATATATATATATATATGTATTTATCTATTTATATACTTTATATATATTTATCACAGCACCATGACCATATGCAGGAAAGCAAGATAAAACTGTTAGAGCAACACAACGAGAGTAGAACTTTCGCCAAATATTTTTGAAGTTACGGACTTCTTGTCATATCACTCGTAAAAGAAACACTTTGATTCAAATAAATGTGAAGAAAGTAAATTAATCAACATCTACTGACATATTTAACTAATTGAAAATATATCCTGGTATTCCAATCTGACTTGTTTAACGAAACGGCATCTATTGACACTTTAGAAATATTCCTAAATTTGTAAGGTATTTTCGACATTAGAACAAATACTACCAGTAAGGCGTGTTTAAACAAATTATAATTTATCCGGCGATTAACCATATGAGGTTTACAAAACTACATAATTCTATCGATGACTGAAAGCGCAATAAAGGGACATTTCAAGCCTTGTTGTTCTGTTTTGTCAATAAATGTAACGCGGACCTGAAAGTGTTCGGTTTCCAAATTTTGTTAAATCATTACGAATCATTTTATTATTACGTATACATCAGTATATAAACTACAACATCTAGCATTAGCAACCAGAAAGCTATGTTTTACTATGACAAACAAATTTGTTGGGATCGTTTTGTTTATTTAATAATAAATGTTTTAAATGTTTACACTCTAACTCCTTCTACTAATTAACTTTATGTTAATATTTTACAAACTCACACAACCGCCATCTGTTATCAAACAATAGCACTGTTGTTGATAATAATAACCATGATCGAATACAAACTGTGAACACTTGTTTCTTATCATTCAAAACTTTACAACCTCCCCCCCCCAAAAAACAACAACAACAAAACAAACAACAATAATAAAAATATATAATAAGTATATGTATACCCATTCACATGTTAAAATTGGATGTTCGTCAATCGAGTAAGCTAACTATTATTGGCACGATACAAAACTTTAAGAGGATCAGTGTCCTAGGATTACAGTATCCAGTTTATGTGAAGCTGTCTTGTATCTTCTTATAAGTTTCGTCTCACACTTCATAATTATACCACCAGGAGTTTTATTAGCCATAACACTGTCTAAAAAACAAACGTGCCTCAAAGTAAAATACTTTATTAAAATTATCAGGCGTCTTTATAATTCATCCTTGAGACTTTCCCATTCCAACTGTAAGATATCTTTGTTCACATAATACCTCCACGTAAACGCACCAATTATGAGAACGATCAAATTAATGATTGTTGTCTGCTTAACAAGAATTGTTATGAGACAAAGTGCACATACATTCCTAGGTCGAATAACTTTGTAATTATTCGATTATCTTGTTGGTTTTATCTGTCAAATAACCTGTTTATGGCAGAACTTATTCTATTCTACCATATCTCAAAAGTTATTATTCAAAGCTGATGTACATATATGATAACACAATGTTTCGTGTATGTACTCTTGGAGACGGCCTACAATACACGAACCAGATACAACTTGGCGTTGATCCCGAAAGTTTCTGTCTGCCATTGGAAACAGTCTACAATACGCACATTCGATATGACCTCTATTACTAGTCGCTATCCCTAACCTTATCTTTAAAAAACAGTCAACATATCAAATCCAGCGAGCGTGTTAGATAGCTCAACAACGACTTTTATGATGGATACCACACACTTCATCAACGTTGTTTAACTGTTACGGAAAGTTGTCCACGCTACAATGCTAAACAATGAGCTTATATAGCTCAACAACGACTTTTTTGATGGATATCCCACTTCATCAACGTTGTTTAACTGTTACAGAAACTTGTCCTTCGGGTAGTTTCTTCATGAAGTTCCAAGCCTCGGTCCTTGTCATACTGGTTATGGATTGGTTGTTTAGGGAAAGAATTTCGTCCCCAGCTTTCAAAAGCCCTAATCTGTCAGCGTCTCCACCTTGTCAATGATGACAGTAAAATAAAGTCAAATCTCACGTTTATTTCACAAGAACTATAAAACATGTCAGTAAACATTGAAAACATTATAAAATATGAGTAGGGTGTAATTACTTTTTCCGATAGTTAACTCACCAACAAAGATAGTAAAAAGTATTTTTATGCGTCGTAAAAGTAACAATCATAAGATGTTGTTTTTCATTAAAAATAATATATGAAGTCAAAGTACATTCATAATTGAAGTGTATTTATAAACTCTTCACAGTGAAAAAAGGCTGTGCAACATTTTCTAGTATTGGATAAGGAAATAAATAATGTAGTTCTATTAAAAATAATTCTATATATTCAAAAGTTCACCTTTAAAGACTTTCTTTATCGTTAGAGGGCGATCTCCTACAGGAGAGTCCTTTCCTCCATCTAAACTAAAACCGATCCCTGTCTTATCTTTCTGTAATTCCACAGTGATGATCTTTTCTTTGGTAGAGGCAGGTGGTACTGCTACAGAAAACCAATCACAGGAGTTAGGCCTATATTCACACACACACACAGTTCAGGAGTTAGGCCTATACTCATACACACGGTTTAGAAGTTAGGTCTATATTCACACACACACACGGTTTAGGAGGTAGGCCTATACTCATACACACAGTTCAGAAGTTAGGCCTATACTCATACACACGGTTTAGAAGTTAGGCCTATATTCACAGACACGGTTTAGAAGTTAGGCCTATATTTACAGACACGGTTTAGGAGTTAGGCCTATACTCATACACACGGTTTAGAAGTTAGGCCTATACTCACACACAAATTTCAGGAGTTAGGCCTATACTCATTAACACGGTTCAGTGTCTCTATGGTTAGATCACTTCATAAACACTCAATGTGTTGTTAGAATTCACTCACGTTTGGAAGAACTGCAAATTTATCACGTTTGCACTCAATAAGTTGAGGTAATTACTTTTAACGTTTTAATTTAAAAAATACTATAAGGTCGTCAACTTCCCCGGGATGTTAATCGAGTTAAAAACTAAGAACGTAATCAAATAGAGATGATTAAATTTAAACGTATGTTTCTTGTTAAACACAAAGCTACACAATGGACTAGGCTGGGCTGTGCTCACCACGGGTATCTAAATTTAAATATATGCAAACAGGCTGTTTTATATAGATCTATTATCCTCCAGATACAAACAGTTCACAGAAACAAAGTATATATATTTTAATTACGGCGACTTCGGAGCGAGACGAACACCTGTCCAGTTAAACTGATATTAAAAAAGAACAGAAAAAGAAAGAAAAACAACTCTTCAGAAGTATACACTTTAGATTTGTATAGGTGGCTCTGAAATCGCGATTTTATTTCGCCAGTTTTCAAATACGTATAATTCAGAAAAAAATATATAAAACGAGTTAAGTACAGTTTAGAAAACATTAATTTAATATTTATGCTTTGTTTTATTGAAAGTTAGAACGAAATGAGGTAAAACAACAGGATAATTCAAGAATTATTATTATTTTAAAGTGTTTCCCAAAATAATCACAATAGTCCAAAAATTGATGAAACTTTGTAGAATGGACGGCAACTTCCTGTTGTAGAGACACAAATGTAGAGGACGACGTTTGGAAAGTTAATGCAAAAAGCTGTACGAGATTCGTTTCTGATTCAGACATTATGGTTTCCTTACCTTTGTCTCGCTCTTGCTGATCTGGCACTGGATGATATCCGTTGGTTAACGGAGAACTGATACATGACTTCTGTTGGTCTGGCACTATGGAATTTATGGATCTTTTTCTTACTAGAACTAGAACTACTTCGTTTCGCGGAGCTTTCAGAATATCTAAAACCTCCTGATGTGTTAACCCTTTGAGGTTACAGCCGTTTATGAACAGGACTCGATCTCCTTTCTTGATCTGACCATCTCTCTCTGCCAGACTTCCAGCTATAACCTTATGAACCTGGAAAAAATATTTGGGTAAGTAAAGACCAAAAACCGATCAATAAAAGTGTACACTACGCGTACATTTAAAGTTCGGTTGTTCATCTCTCATAATTAGCCAGAAAGCTGCAGCGAAATACAATGTTTTGTTAATAGATGGCGCTACCTATTCTGGAAATCATTCGGGTTGGTGGGTTTGAGTGCAAAGCTGCACAACAGGTTATCTGCGCTCTGTCCACCGCGAGGAATCGAACTTCATGTTTTAGCATTGCAAGTCTGTAAAGTTACCGCTAACCCATCAGGGGACTAGTAACTCGGGAAGAATTTGTTTGCATAAATATGATTCCCGGTAAGTATAACCCAAACTTAGCGCCCTCACTGCCCAATATTGAAAACAAAGAAAAATTATTACAGTTAGTATGCACCAATAACGTGTTAAATGAAGACACATGACGAATAACTAAATAGATGATAAATAATTGATTCAGAGAATATAATGTTAACTTTCGTTCAATCCCAGTGTTCTTCAGACCGACTGGGATACGACAGATAAGAGTTGTAATTGAGAACAACTGTTTCGGTATGTTCTAGATTAAGTTGTCGTCAGTTATATTTATACCACAACTCGTGTAACAAACTATATTTATTCTAACAGTTTCTTCAAAGGCCAACAATATCGGTAACCAATCCAAAGACTGTACTGTTTTAAGACATCACTTATTCAGCTTTTAAAACTCTAAAAGTTTTATTATAGAAACTTTTCAAACTTTCCTTGATGTTTCCTTTGAAAGATTGAAATTTCGTAATAGACACGTGAAGATTGTTGTTGTAAGTACGTTGGGTTGTATTAAGTTAGTTTATTATATATATATATATATATATATGAATTAACGCGAGTCAGAGTCCGAATGAGTCAATATTAAGAAAATGACAATAAACATTTTACTGCAATTTTCCAAACTCTTATACAAACATGTTACTATTATTATTAATTCCAAACTCTTACACAAACATGTTGCTATCATTATTAATTCCAAACTCTTATACAAACATGTTACTATTATTATTAATTCCAAACCCTTACACAAACATGTTACTATTATTATTAATTCCAAACTCTTACACAAACATGTTGCTATCATTATTAATTCCAAACTCTTATACAAACATGTTACTATTATTATTAATTCCAAACTCTTACACAAACATGTTACTATTATTATTAACTTCTCTGACTGATATTGTACTTTACTGTTAGCTTTATCACAGTTGTTAATGTATGGAGTTTCGTAAGCATTATATAAAAATGTATACTTCAAAATCATATTTCAGAGCCAAAAAATGTTGTCAAATAATGGTACAGTATTCGATTATTTATTGCATGCTAAGTAACCTAAGTAATCCTGCACATTTCTCTCTGCGTTATCCGCTTCTAAATAGATCTATTAATTAAAAAGTTAAGGGTATGGTTTACGACATAACTGTTACATTATAAGCTTAATAGCTCTGCAAAGCTTTCTCTGTTTCCATCGCTTTATTAGTTGACTGTCAATAAACTTAAACTGCCATGTTTAAGCTTACCGTAACTTCTTTAACTTCGTAGTCAGCCCCTCCAGCTAGAGTTATTCCAATACTTCCGACCTGGAGTCTTCTTTGGATGATGACGACATTTACTTCTTGACCATCACTCTCTGGTTCTTCCAGGAGGAATCGATTGGCCTCTTCATGCAGCTGCTGGCAGTCTTGGGGAGAGATGGTGGAAGACAAAGTTGACCTTGATCCGGAGTGGTCAGACGCTGGAGAAATCCTTGATGAGTATTCCAGAGAGCTGTTTTCTCCAGTTTCACTTGCAGACGAATCGATTGAAGAGAAACGTTTATGTTGAATTCCTAATTGTAAGCTGTGTACGTTATCTCGGCTTGAAGTCGAGGTGGAATCGTGGATGTCGGAATTTCTTGAATCTCGTTTATTCACAGTCTGAACAGAATCTGTTTTAGTGGGCATGCAATTACTAATATCAGATGTCCTTTGATTGGTAGGCTTATCACGGTGTGATTTCCAATAACTTTTAGGCTGATATGACGATCGCGTGTTCTGAGTTTCAGTTTCTTCCAAATTACCCGATTCGGATACAGAAAGGGAGTCTTTGGAAGTGGACCGACCTTTGGAGGAACTGGTGGCTTGTGGAGTATCAGAAATTTTTTTTCCACGTACTCGGCCATTAACAAATTGAATACTCGTGTTTGTGAATTCAGGTGTCTGGTGATTATCGGGTAAAACTGTCACGTTGGTGCGTTCACCAGAAGATATACAACTGTTAGAATTGAAGTTTGAGCTGGAGTGAACCTCAGCCAAGCCGGTACTATTAGGTTTGAATGTTGAAGTTGAGCCTTTGGGACCTTTACGACAACCAGATTGAACAACTGAACTGGAACACTCGTCAGATATTCTGCGACCCTCATATTTGTTGTATAAGTTAGAACAACTCTCGGAAGATTTTTGGCCAATTGGCTTTGATTTCGGTAACCAGGCTGTTTCTTCATTGGTGTTTTTATTTTCAAAATTTTTAAGAATATCACTAACACTCATTGATCGTGTAGAAGTTGACATATACCTGTTCTTCCTACCCAGTTCATCCAAGGATTCTCGACTTCTATCGAAGGCATCTCTAGAGTCCACTAACTTCCCATCGCGGTGAAGAAATTCAGTAGGTTCTCCTTTACGAGTGAAAAAGGTGTTGGATAATGAGTTTTTAGACCAAAAACTATCCACCTTTTTCTTTTCCCCTTCCTCTATTAAGGACGTGGGTCTAGGACCGCATGGACGATTCTCTCTTATTTTCACATCTGAAGCAGTAGTGGTATTTGTAAACTGATTTGAAGCACTATTTCTTCTTGAATACCGTTGTGTGTCATTTCCCTTTGGCATGAGTGAAGGAGGAAGCTTTGCGTTAAAACTGTGGGATAAATTAGTCTGTGAATCCCTTTTTGACACAATAGCGTGATTGGAAGGTGATGGAATTTCTTGGTTGCCATCAAACGACTTTTGTTCCCATCGCTCGGCTAATGCTCTAAAGTTTTTAGATTCATCAGCTGGACCTTCTTGACGCATGCGTAGCACAGTTTTTTGTTGGCTAAGAAGACGTGGCTTGAATTCTGCGTCTACAGGGTGATCTAGAGAATCTGACGCCGTGTCAGACAATGAGTCATCGATAGTCTGTCTTGAATCTTCTGTTCTCTGGCTAATAGTTGAGAAAGAGTCATCGTCACTTTCAACTTTGTCAGAATAAAAGCGACCTTGGAAAGTAAGTCGAGACAGACTTCCATTTTGAGGCCACTTTTGGTTACTGTCGTGTTGGACATTGTAATTTTTGTCTTCAGCTCCTACCAATGACTGTCTATTTGAGACAGTAGGCGGAAATGAAGAAAGGTTTTCCTGGTTGTTTTTCCCTTCCGAAATACTTCCAAGAACCGTTGCTCCAGAATCTCCAAAGTCAATACACACTGGTTTAGCCAGAAACTTTCCTCGAACTTCCAAGTTTACGGAAGAAGATGTATTTTTCATTTCTTCAGTAGAATCTCTTGACTCATTCGAGTCTGTTCTAGATACTGGATTGCTGGCAGAACTAGAAGTGTCTGTTTGATCCAAAGATGTTACATTATGCTTTAATTCTGAAGAATTATAGGAGTTCTTATTATTTGAAAACTGTGGACTGTGTTTCTGATATTTATTTGGCCAAGAACAATTACCATTTTGTTCTGGTAATTTGTGTTCTGAGGACGACACTGCCATCAAAGAAGAACGTTTAGCTTGTTTTGAAAAATATGAGTTGTTAATCTTTTCCAATTCATCATCTGGAGATGTGATGGATCTAGTTGATTGTTCATAATCTTTTCCTTCACTATCTGATGATCCTGGACCAGGTGACATGATAGGTTTTTCTGGAAGAACTGGGGTTACAGGCTTACTGTGCGACAATGAAAATTGGAAAACACTTTGTTTTGTAACTGTTGGAGGAGAAGTAATACCAAAAGAAGAAGAATTGGTTGAGCTACTTATACTAGAAGGGGAGGCAGGAGGAGGTGAGATGGGTGAAGTTAAAGAAGATGGAGGAGTTGGTGAAACAGAAGACGCGACATTTGAGCGTGGTAACTGAAGAGATCTTCTTTTGAAAGCAGGAGAATATTTGGGAAGACTAGGATTGTAACTTTTCCATGGTGGTTCTGATAACAGTGACTGATTATTTGCCCCATCTACCACATCTTTTGTTATTACCGAAGACCGTGAATTCAGATTTAGAACTCTGGGTAAAGACTTTGTTTTTTCTGGTGTACGAGTCGTTTCATTCTTCCACATCTGGTTGGTAAATGCCTTAATTGGTTCAGGTTTTGAACTGATGGCAGTTTTACTGGCTATCGTGGGTAAGGATTTTATTGCGGGGTTTGTGCTGACAGGCCGCTCGGGAATGACTAGTCCTTTGAATTTCGGACCATTGGTTTTAGACGTTTTTTGTAACAAAGAAAGAAGGTTCCAATTACTGGGCCGGTTCAGTAAGTCTTCTTGGCTTCGAGAAGATGTCATGTTAACTTCACTACAGCTAAATCCAAAATTACCAAGGTGGCTGGATGATTGATGGTCTTTAGCCTTACCAAGGTGGCTGGATGATTGATGGTCTTTAGCCTTACCAAGGTGGCTGGATGATTGATGGTCTTTAGCCTTACCAAGGTGGCTGGATGATTGATGGTCTTTAGCCTTACCAAGGTGGCTGGATGATTGAGGGTCTTTAGCCAGACTGCTGTAAGTCTTACTTTCGTTTGAGGTGTTTATCTTACACGTTTCTGTAAGAAAACTTGCCTTGTTAGTGGATTGATCCAAAGCAGGATTCTCAGTGCTTTGTGCTGGTGGACATGTTTCATTGATAAAACTCAAGTTCTTTTTCATAAGTTTTTCCTCTTTACTGATAGGAGCAACACTAACATTAAGAGCTTTCTCATTTGATCTTATGTGTTGGTTTTTAACACCAATGTTCGATCTTATGTGTTGGTTTTCAACACCAATGTTCGATCCCATGTGTTGGTTTTCAACACCAATGTTCGATCCCATGTGTTGGTTTTCAACACCAATGTTCGATCCCATGTGTTGGTTTTCAACACCAATGTTC